TAAAATAATTTCATATAATCAAGAGCTCATTTTACAATTTTTAATAGTATGAGGACTATTAACCTATTTTTCGAGACACACTGTTGATGATCGATGAAAGTTTTACGACAACAGACATCGATGTTTGTTCATCAAAGCCTACTAAGATAACAAATATGCTTCCCAGACAGATTTACAAACTGAAATGAGGAAAGACATGTGGAGTGAAATAGGAAAAAGCATGAAGATCAAAGATGATGGATTTACCAGCAATGTCAGCCAATAGATAGACAACTATTCACACGACACTAAAAGACTAAGAGAAAACTTAGAAAGATTGAGAGGAAAAACCTAGAAAAAAGTTTATTTTTTTAGAAAAAAATTACCTAAACAGATGATTTTTTTAAAGAATAACACGATAAGAAAATTAATAACTTTATTTAAAGATTAAATTATTGAACCAACGAAGTCCAAAGTTGATATCTAAATTTTTGTAGAGAGATTTTTTAATAAGTATAAGATCTATTTAAAGTGTTTTAAAAGATGAGAAATGCAAAAGAAACTAATAAGGGAACTGAAACGGATATATATTACATAGATTTATTGTTGAAGCTTTAACTGAGGGAAGTCTTCTTCAGTGCATCTTTATTCATGTTTAAATACATGAAAGGAACTAATCACTTGCATACATATGAATTATTCGAACCAACCCGTAGTTCAAGGGAATATATATAAGTAGATTAAAGGAGGCGTATAGATTGGTGGGCAGCGAGAGAGAAGTTAATTCAATTTGGTGGTGGTGAACAGTAGGGAGGAATGAATCCTTCATTATCGCAACCAGGGAGAGGTGCTGGGGAATGATCATCGGGAACCACAAGAGACGCAGCCTGACAAGCAATAATTAAAATCAAAGCAATAGCAAACACTTTGACAGCGCTGTGGATTATTTTGTTTGTGAAAAGATATGCCATTGCTTCTTCAGAAAGGAGGGGGATTATATATTAGTATTTTACTTCTCTTCCCTCCCAATGTTGAGTCTGTGCAGAAATCTAGAGGAGGAAGAGGGTTTAAATAGAAAGAAAAAAAGAACTAGTCACATATGAACATATTAAACCAGGTTTTTGATGAGGAAGCTGCTAACTTTGATGACTTGACTGTTTAATAACAAGGAAAAGAACGTAACCAGTGGTGCATGCAGGGAAGCTGCGTATGGTATGCCCTCGGTCCTGGATTCTTCATTGCTCATCATATACGGTAAAATTCTCCTGCCTAGCTACGACTCCACACATATCTCTATATTCAGTTCTTAATGCACGACTTTTGAAAGTAAATGCTAACATTTAATGCATGACTTTTGAAAGTAAATGCAAACATTTTTTAAAAAATTTGGAATGATTATTCAGAATTTTCTTAATTATTAATAACACGTACCCTACAAACACATCAAATGCATCCAAGAGACTAAGACCTCTAGAGATAATAATAATATGTTTTTATTGCTTAGTCGCTTGATGAGTTTAGTATTTATCTGATTTCAATTTAGCTTTCCAAATTGCGTTTTATTCCCTTTGAAATTAGAAACCCAAGGTTATATTCGTTTCACCAGTTATGCTAAAGCCATGAGAATATATGTATATCAACGTACATATCGTCTAATTTGTGTTAATATAAATAGAGATATGATGTGGTCAACCATAACAAAGCATTATATTCTCTTAAAATAATAAATAGAATATAGTTTACTGGAAGGGACCAATCGTTGACATTTCATGGAATCTTGCAATGTGCATGCCGACACGTTCAAAGTCTAACATACATTCTCTTTTTCCTTGTTTTACTTTTACTCTATTATTTTAGCATCAAATTATGAAATTATTATACATGATTCAAGATGTAAATAATAAATACAACGGATATATATATAACCTTCAAACAGTTGAATCATTGAACACTAATAGGCAATGTGAAATAAAGCCATGGGCCTCCATGATCCCATACGCCCCATCCAGGAAAGTGATGTTAAGGCTGCCGCTCACATTCCTTTTATTGATTTGGGCCGATAGCCACGCGTCGTTCACATCTCATTAATTATTACGACATGTCCCATTTAAAAACAGGCTCTATTGAGCGTACCAAAGCATCTTTACGCTCTTCATACCTTCAATCTAGCTAGGGGAGAGTCCTAATAGAATCTTCTATATAATCATTAAGATTTTCAATATAATTATAGTTGTTTTGTTTATTCATGTAAGGCTTTTAGTATTTTGCTTTTTAATTGAGCATCAAGTTATGGTCCTAGTGGTGCTTTGGTTTTAGGCATACAAACTACCCAACTATATTTGTATGATTGAAAGATCTCAACCTTACGATCAAGAGAGTTTTAATTTTCAAATTAGAATATGAGTGATTGAATATTTGATCAAGAGAGTCCAGCAGATTCAAGTGTCACTAACGGAAGAGATAAGTCGCAGGATGAAGACACGTCAGTTCAAGTAATTATGCTGCAAAATGTTGGGAGTTTTATATACACTGCTTCTGGTTTTTATTAATCGGACAATCCATTTACGAATAAAACCCGTTTAAAATAAATTGACGAAAGATTTGACATTAATTTATGTGAATTGTACACTTCCTCCTCTTTAGATTCCAACGAAATCAAACATCCATTCAACACCTGTAAGTATTGCCAATCTTTTGACTTGTATAAAATATAAATAATTTGGTGAGATAGTGTACGAAAATATAAAATTACCAAGTTTGATTTAAATTTTATAGTGGTCTCATTATGAATTTAATTATTAAGTTGTCATAAACCTGAATACTATAGCTACAACGGTTAACTGTTGATGAGAATAAATAGTTTGCGATAATTATAGATGGTTTATCGATTTTAATTTAAGTCGAGAGTTATGGTGAGAAATAGGTAGGTGAGAAATAGATCGTTAATCGATGTCAAAGTATTAGGAAGAAATAGATTAATCAAGACAAGAACGTTCCATCACTACTCTCGCCTACATATATCAATTATAAGATCAATTTAGAAAGATTCGATCAACTAGATTTGACTTTGATAAAAGTTAATAGATTAGAGGGATACAATCAACTAGATTTGACTTGGATTATCCGAAAGCAAGGTGCGAGGAGATTTGGAAGTTAAAAATTGATAATTCATGAATAACGTATAAGCCGATTTCATGCGCTAAATCTAACATCAGCTTGAAAATATTTGAAAACTAAATTGAGCAGGGGCCGCGCGAACGCAGGCCCCCTCAATCACAAATTATGACGTACATTCTCCCGCTTGGGGAGATGTTAAGCTGGCGCACTCACCATGTGCAATGTGAGCCGCAAACCTAGGCCATGGACATCCATGATCGCCCATTCGCCCCGTCCAGGTAAGTGAGTTCAACGTTTCTACTCACATTCCTTTTATAGGTTTTCCTAGCGCACGCCTCTCTCTGTGCAGCACGATGTGGGACAAATAACAAAACATAATAATTCTTAAGCGTTTCCGAGACTTGGCCACTGCTAATTAATTAAGATTTCAACTTGCAGCTTTGTTCTTCATATTGCTTTTACCGGTTTCGTTCTAAAGCTTCATTCCATGGTTGAGAAAAGTATGCTTTTATTAGAAAAAGGATGGAGAAGAACATGATCACACAGCAGTGTATATCCCCATTTTACACGTATACAAAGCATAATTATTAATTAGTGTATATCTTTTTAAATAATTGGGTAACTTATATTGGATATCATTCAATTGAATTTTAAGTGTATATTCTTTATACTATTGAACTTTCAATTGCTATAATTATAGTACTGGAGTTTGATTTTGGCTTAATTATAACATGGGACAGTTAAATTTTAATGACACGATGATATTAATAGATTTTTCAATATCGTGGACCAAACAACATTGTTTTGACACAACTATTGATGTTTTAGGCATGAACTTTAGGGATATATCAGTTTTACCACTAAACTTTAAAAAGATTCTATTTTTGGCACTGAACTCTTTCGACCGACTCTAACAACCAATCGTCACCCGTCACCCGTCACCCGTCATCATTTGAAGCAAGACCGATATAAAAATATTCATATTTCATTCTCTCTCTTTTTTTCTCATCGGGATTGATTTTTGACAAAACTCACTCAAAATCGATGAAAATTCATCAAAGGCTCGATGTGCTAATACATCAATCTCCTCTGATGATTGCTCGATGAAGCTAGTTTTGACGTATATTGTTTGTCTTCTCAAAATAATGCTTCTCACCGTTTGAATTTTCAAACAAATAACACAAACACCTCAAATTGAAAGAAGCCTCCGAATCCCTAAAAATATTTTTTTTAAAATTCTAACACCACAAATTATACTTTTGGACTCTTTCTCTATCAATGAGTAGTTGTGTTTAGGTAAAAAAAAATTCATGTAGTTTGTTATATTTTAATTACGCTTCATATTATGTTAAATCTAAAAATGTATCACATTTTACATAGATTATTATAATAATTTTATTTGATTTTCAAATAGCATTATTGTTTCATGATATATATTGGGAATTTTAATCTAACCTTGCAAAATCTGGTTCTGGTAAAGATATTAGTAATACACATATTCAGTTGATAGGTAAATAGTAATAATATATTAAAATATTTTACTGTTTTTCTTAATGGGCAGAATTTCTTGCCATAGCAAATGAAGAAAGTACTATCATATATATATGTTGGAAAATGTTAAATACATATATAAATGTAAATGGAACCAGTAAGGAAAGAATGTTCCTATAGTAGCTTAGTTTGCATGAACACGAAATTCCACAGGTCGTGTTAAAAGATTATATTTTTGAGACGTGTCGAAGGATTGTGAGAGACTAAGACTAAGCTTTTATGTCCGAAGATGGGATTTTCTTAGGTGCTCCGGAAGTTCTAAGGTATCAAAGGATCATAAAAGAGATTCGAAGACATTTCTTAGATCCTCCAGAGGTGAGACAAGGTAAGTAAGACACTGAAAACTAAATTTGGCAGGGACCGCGCGAACGCAGGCCCCATCAATCACAAAATATGACGTACATTCTCCCGCTTGGGGAGATATTAAGCTGGAGCACTCACCATGTGCAATGTGAGCCGCCAACCTAGGCTATGGGCCTCCTTGATCGGCCATTTGCCCCGTCCAGGTAAGTGAGATCGACATTCCTGATCACATTCCTTATAAAGGTTCTCTTAGCACACGCCTCTCTATGCAGCACGATGTGGGACAAATAACAAAACATAAAAACTCTTATGCGTTTCCGAGACTTGGCCACTGCTAATTAATTAAGATTTCAACTTGCAGCTTTGTTCTTTATATTGCTTTTACTGGTTTCGTTCTAAAGCTTCATTTCATGGTTGAGAAAAGTATGATTTTATTAGAAACAAGATGGAGAAGAACATGATCACACAACAGTACTGTTCTCTTCATTAACATACTTATGATTATTTCAATGAGATCGCCAACATTAAGCCGTTACGTTATGTATTATGTTATGGCAATCCATATATATTCAAAGGATCTTAGCCAATTCTAGGAGCACGTACAACCTGGCCGTTTCTATCAACCCAAACCCATACCCTATCGCACCTGAAGCCCCTGGTGACTGGAGTTCCATCCAGCAACACCATGGCGCCCACATCGGCATTCTCGTTCTCGATCGTCATCTTCGCACGCTCTCCGTTTGTTCCAACCAACTCCGGTCACGAGTCCTTCCCTGTGCATTTCAAACAAGTCATTAATTAATTAAAACTCAACCCATCCAAAAAAGTTAAGGAAAAGCAACCTATATAAACTTAGCCTTACCAGGAGGACACCCAGACATATTGCTTTCTCTTTCTCCCTTGGATTTGCTGAGTTGAGTGAGTTTCGAGTTGTATCAGGCAGGATATGTGTCTGAACTTTATATAGATGGATTTTGAACATGAAAGTGTGAACACGTCGGAGTAAATGGCCACAGGTCCCAGCCTACATATTTGAATGCTCGTAAAAAGTTTGGCACCGTCCCTTTTTTCAATGCCCGATATTATGGTATTAGCCAGGCTTGATTTGGGATCTGGCTAGTTCTTATCCATTTGCATGTTCTCTAAAAGAATTGAATTATGGTTTCCCATTTATAAGCATTTGTTAAGTGAACCATTATAGTCTGATGAATTACATAGTTGTTTAACGTAAAAATAAAGTTTAAAATTAGTACAATATTTAGAGATTGAAAGGTAGGGATTGTTTTAATTGAAAATCTTGTTGATTATAAAGCTCAACTAAAAAATATGTAGAGAAGGAATGGCAAGTTTGAGATGTGGAAACAGAAATGCTATATTCCAAAAGATTGGTTTGACTTTTAAGGCTAACATTTTATCCTTTAGTAAGAGTTATGTATAATCTACATTTAAGGGTAATGTATTATCTCCACAGGTAGCAGATTTCTGGGCCAAGAAGATTCTTCAACTTTTGTTTTTTGCTTAGCTGTATATCATGATTATTTTAACTATTAGATCGGCTTTTCTTTCTTATCTGGTACATACCATCCTTATGCTACTTCACAATTCATTTCAATGTTCGACTGTAAGTTTAATATATAGGAAAATTATCTGATACACAAGTAGTTTAAAAATGGCTACCCCATAACCACGTATATAAGGACCCCATTGGAACAAACTTATGCATGGCAAAAACTACACTAATCCCATCTTCATCTCTCTCTTTTCACTATGTAATTCTACCTGCCTGCTTCGTCAACTTGCCATTTTTCTGTTTTCTCTCAGGCGTCTATAAATCGAACTGTTGCGGGGAATGTTGTCTGGTTCGAAGCCATTCATCTGAATCTTAAATGTCTTTTGAATGATTTCGGACCAGGCTTCATTCCCCTCAACTTGGTTTTATATATATATATATATATATATATATATATATATATATATATATTATCAGCTTAAATGTGCCAAGGATCAAATTTGCATATATCTTCATTTGCTGCAAACAGGAAGTAGAGTTGGAATCAAGAAATCCTAAGCCAATGGATCACAGAAGCCGAAATTTGGAAACCTGGAACTATAACAGGTGAAAAGTAAGGGTAGAATTAGTGTCCTGATTTTCAAGGTTTTTGATATGTTGTCATAAACAACTCTCTCGTCATTTATATATATATACATTTTGGGAATTGGAGTGTTGACTGTGGAATTGATGTGGACTTTGCTTGCAGAGTCTTTCAAAAAATAATGAGTGTTAGTCAGAAGGCAAAAGAAAATTGCAAAAGTTCATCTCCTTGTGCTGATTGAGGGGAGCATGCAACACATGCAGTTTGCAAAAGATGAAATGAATACAATATCAAACGTTTGTTGGTTTTTTTTTCTGTTTTCATAATTTACCAAAATATTTAAAAATTCAAACAAGAAAAAAGAAAGCACTTTTTCCTTTTCTTCTTCGGCAATATATATATATATATATATATATATATATATATATATATATATATATATTATAAAGAATTCTAGTTTTCTTGCCTTTGCCTTTTCATGCATTATAAGGGAACAGTATGAACGAGTGTCCGTCGCTGATTCCCAATCGCAGGCACTTACTCTAACCATTCAGAGATGAAACCATAAAAGTAGAATATGAGACAACACAACCAAAGCCAATAGGCAGGATGATCCTTTTAGCAGCTCGCAGGGTTTTACTTGTACAATCAAAACCATGAATGGCCTTAGCAACAAATAATCCTTAAAAAATAATTTGACATATACATACTGCATTAGCAAAACCCTTTCCCAAGATTTGAAAGCATAAACTAAACAGAAGATTAACTTTCTGGCCTGGAATCCAATGAAACAACTACAATTGGAGCCTCATACAAGCACGATTGAAGAGCGGTGCTGAAGAACTCTTAAAGTACAATTTGTATCGATCTGCGACTGGAAGAAAAAAATGGTTAAGCGAAGAAGAAACAAAAACTGAAAATAGGACGATTGACGAGCGGTGCTGAAGAACTCTTCAAGAAAGCGATTGGGGCAAAAGTAATAAATCTCAGCAGAGCGGAAGAAAAGCGGTTTCAGGATCTTAGGCGAATGATACCATGACAAGAATTATAGAACAGCTACAAGTAATCAGCAATGGAGATTCAGTAGAGAAAGCATGAAAGAACTGTGCACAAAGGAAGAAGAAGACGATAGGAATATTGACTAAATGTCAACAAAGGATGAGTCAAAGGCTAAACAGCTGAATATTATTCATTTCATAAGAAATGGATTACATTGCTTAGTTTGGAATAGTGGACAGGCCCACCATATATACAACAATCCAAGGCTAACAAAATAGCCCAACAGAATAGTAAAACGGTTACAACAAACTAACCATATATGAATAATACTCTAATAACAAATGCATTTGCAGTCCATTTTTTTCCTCCTTCAATGAATCTAACCAGATTACCTCCATTATAGATAGCTTTGCACAGACTCGGAATTAGGAGCAAGCCAACACCTTTCGAAACCTCCATTCGGTATATGAGTTTCTGCAGAAACCTGTCAACTCAAGAATTTCGACAGGTAGTCAAGCAAACAAACAAGTTTCAGTCGGACATCATTTAGGTGGCTCCTGGACTGGAAATGTTGGAAGCAATTTCAAAGTTTCAAGATAGGCTTCATCTTTTGAAAGTAAATCTACAACTGCAGATCAGTGGATGCATCGGGTGACAATTTTTTCTCCACCATTTTATGAAGAAGTTCCACTATTTTATGGGTGTCATTCTTCCGAGAGAAACCATGCAAGAGTGTATTAAATGTTACAACATTCAGAGCACAAACCTTTTCCTCCATTTCTATTAGTAAATCGTTTGCCTTTTTCTAGTTGCCCTTCCTTGCACAGAAACTGGATCATTATAGAATAAGTTACAACTGTTGGTTTCAGGCCTTTATTTGGCAATCCATGCACAGAAACTGGATCATTATAGAATAAGTTACAACTGTTGGTTTCAGGCCTTTATTTGGCAATCCATAAAATAGCTCCCAAGCAGTTTCAAGCTTCCCTGTTTCGCACAGCCCATTAATAAGGGAATTGAAAATTTTAATGCTAAATCCAAACTTGCAATTTTCTAACTTATGAAACAGTTCCAATGCCTCTGAGACACAACCATTTTTGCAAAGTCCATCCACAAAGACGTTATAGGTGCAAGAATCAACTGCAATATCATCGAACAGCATTTTACCAAACAGTTCTCTTGCTTCGTCAACCTGTCCTGCTCGGAAAAGACCAGTCAACAAGGTGTTATATGTGATAGTTGTTGCTTTGATCCCTTTGCCTTTCATTTCCTGATAAAGCCTAATAGCTTCACTAACCTTCCACTTTTTGCAATAAGCATTGATCATTATGTTATAGCTAACCGCATCTAGTCCATTCTCCTTACTTTGCAAGGAAACAAACAGATCCCCTGCAATATCAAGCTTGCCAGCCAAGCAATACCCATCCAACAATGTGTTATATGTGAATATATCAGGATCGACTCCTCTGAATCATCAAATCTAACAATTGGTTTGCTTCTTCCAACTTCTCCATCTTGCAGAGTGTATCTATTAACACATTAGGATGCACACCTTGATCCAACATCTCAAGAAATAGACTTTTAGCCTCGTTCAAATTACCTATGCAACAAAAACCATTAAGTAAAGAGCTACAAACAACCACATCCGGACAAATTCCCTGACTCTTCATCTCCAAGAAAAGTTCCCTCGCCTTTTCCACCATGCCCTCTTTACACAGGCTATCAATAATAATACCATAAATAATAACATTGTGCTTAAAAGTCCCATTTCCATTAACCATTTCCCCATACATCCGAAGAGCAGCACTCATATTCCCCATTTGACATCGACTATTAATCAAAGCCCCACAACTTAGAATACTCGGCCGGCAACCAAATACAATCATTTACCCAAACAAGCTAGTTGCTTCACCAACCTTATCGGCGACAATCAGCCCTTTAATCAGAGCTGTAAAAGTTACAGTATCTGGTCTATAACCGCACCTAAAAAGCCTACCTAAAACAGCAAAACCATCACCAACTTGACCTATTCGACATAAACAATTAAGCATAATATTCAAGGTAATGAAATTAGGCGAAAACCCAACTGAATCCAATCTCTTGCAAAACAAGAGAACATGACTATATTGCCTACTCTTAGCAATTGCACCTAGCAACAGATTAAATGATGGCATTGGAGGACGGGGTTGCATTTGGGTCATTTGATTAAAAATATTCAATGCTTCATCGAGAGTAATGGCACCTGACTTGACAATTTCATGAAGTGGTTCGAGGCTTGCAATAGAATCTTTCTTGGGGTCTGAAGATTTGGGATTCTTAGAAGTGGGGTTTTGGCGCGGATTGAAAAGAGATGAAAGTTTACCTAATTGAGTAGATTTTGCAGAAGTAGAAATGAATGATAGAGCAGCTTCATTAGCAGATGAAGCAAAGCGGAGCGTTGTTTTGGCGACCATTTCCCGGGATGTTTTAGAAAGAAAAAAACTCGGATTGCAACTTGCCAAACCCCCGGAATCTCGTCTAGTAACACGCAAGTATATTAGTGGATGATCTTGGTTTTCTCGGCTCCCCTGGTCATGACCCATTGGGAAGGGATCAATATAGGAAAAACTAAATATATATCATATTTAAAATTTTCTTATATTAATAATTATGGGTTTAATACTTATTAAGACCAAATCGTATGAAAATCATACAGTAATGGATGACTTGACTCACCGAAACATCCAAATCGTACGACAATCATATAATGAATGATTTGTGAATAATAATAATTGTAGAAGTGTCTAATCAATAATCTTATCGTTAAATATAAATTACGAAATTTATAATATGTCATTGATAGATTCGTAGTTATTGGTTGAATCGGTTGTAGTGCTATTGGTAGAGGAACAACACTCGTTAACAATAATGTGTACGAAGTAAATATGGAGCTTAGTACTACTAGTGTGTAATAATATTGTGTCGAGCTCAAAAGAAGTGAAAGTATATACGATGAATACAAGTCTATACAAGTTGTCCAAATCAATATATGGAATGAGAATATATTTTATGAACCCAAATTATTGCAAAACACAATTATTCGGATTCGATTTAATAAATATATACATCTAAAATTAATAAACTAATATCTCTATGCTCATATAGAGTATCGGGTGATCACAATTAAAATTCTATTTATTCAACGGAGAGAATATTTATCGTTAACATATTAAAATTAGAATTGTAATAATGACTTATTTGAGAGGGAAGGAGAATTTATGCCTGCTTAGCAAGGCCCAATACATCAGTAGGCAGCAGATTCCAGTAGAATGTATTCCAATTGAAGGCGTGTTGAAGACTAGGATAAAATGCTGCCCACACAAGCCCTCTTTAGCTCATAAATCCTAAGTAAGTCCAAAGTACCCAAACACCTTGAGCAGCACACAGATTCAGTTCATCAACCCTTTTCAAGCATTGATTTCCATGAAAGATCAAACAGTTGTTTCTTACAATTTAAACTCCAAATACTACAATTTTCTTTTGGTCCAGCACTAGACTTTAATACCTAAATAGCCTAAGGAATCCAACCTTCCAAAACCAAATAAAAAAGAAAGAAACAGCTCCCATATGTGGATACAAATCCATGCAATATATATAGAGGAGCAAGTAAAACCAGTTAACCAACCATTAGACCCAACATTGGAAGGCTTGACACCACAATCTCACTATGTTGATTGAGATGGTAATCTTGGGTGATTATGCTCACCTTCGTAGGTAACAATAAGCATGGATGGCTCTTCCAAGCACCTCTCCACATGCTTCCTTGCAGTACAACCTCTTATAGTGCTACATTTATAATATCCCCTGCACCAGTTATATAAACAACATTTCATTTACATGCACATCAAATTCATATATCAAATCTCAGTCTTTATGTAATGATTTACCTAGGGTGAGGGGAGCCCTTGATTGGCTTCTGCCCGTATTTCCTCCATGAATAATCATCGGGAGGAATGTCAGCAAGCTTATTACTGATAGCAGGCACCTTGATTGACCTCTTCACTCTATGTTTCCTGCCACCAGAGGGCCATGAATTGAGTACAAAGACACTAGATCGAACAAGAGGTGAAAATGAGAATCTAACCTCTTTTTAGAGCAATTGCATATACTACCACTGCTTCCACATTTGGCACTCCCATCTTCTAACTTAGCGTAACAGTTCTTCTTGTGTTGGGAGCCCGTTAAATGGAAGCCACTCCCACCAGTTCCATTCAAGTTAGCTACACTGCCATCTATGCTCAAGGAAGAAATGAAAGACCTAGTTGATGACATGGTAGGTGTGCAACTAGAGCTATTATCAAAGTTCAAGCTAATCCCACTGCTATTGCTCTTCCTAAACATCGTCATTTCAGCTTGGAGTTTCATTTGCTGTTGTTTTTGGAGGAGATGATAGTGCCCCAATGGCGTCTGTTGTGAGAGTTGAAGAGGGTTCTTCCCATTCGAACTCGATTCCAAAGATGGGTTCACTAAACATAGAGAGTTCTTAGCATGGGAACTCAGTTCTTGAACATTACAATGAGGAAAAGGGGTTTGTGGTTTCATAAGCTTCCTCACTCTTGCATGTCCTGAACCAGAGTTCAAAAGAGAAACTACCCTTTTGAACTTAGAAACAGCTTCCCCAGTTTCAGCCATTAAATTTCTGTAATTAACCTGGGCTTGAGGCTGAGACAAAATATTCAAAACTCTATTGGAACTCTCTATCGCCGCCTTGTTAGCTGCCTCAACCTCCTCCATATTACCTAAACTAAAAACAGCAAAACATTAGATCTTTAAACAATAAAAAGAAACTTCCCATAAGAGCATAGGTCAAGTGGTCAACCCAACAGGGATTGCTTGTAACAGAGCTCAAAAGGCCAATTCTTTTGCTCTCTTTTTTTTTTTCGAAACAGAGAAGGCCAATAAGATCAGAGACTGGCTGATGAAAAAGAAAGAAAGAAAAGAGGAACCAGACAAGGAGCAAAGCAGAAAACAGTTCCTATCATCAGGAGAAAACAAAGAGAAAATTACAAAAAATAAGAGACCTTGTTGGATTTGATGTTTGTTAAACCCTAAGATTATTGTTTCATGTGTATTTTGAGATTGAAATTGAGAAGAATATTTGTTTTTGCGTCGGAGAGACTTCACAAAGGGCTATGACAAAACGAGATATCAACGTTGATATTATGGTAAATAATGGTCAACAGTGAAGATATCAACGTTGATGACGAGCGAGAGAGTCGAAGAAAAGGGTGGCATGATCGACAATAGTATAAAATAAATCTAGATTTAAGTTTTAAACCTTTATCTCGTTGAATTGATCTTATTCACCTCGAACCAACTTAATTTTAAAATATATAATTTCTTCCCCTCCGAAGAAACTTTCAATGAATTATGTAAATTTAGAATCCAAAACACCACCTTCTCTCATTAACATGCCATCTTCCTTGATAAAGAAAAAAAGCTGCACTTTGTCTCGGCTAAAACCCACCAAAAACATCCTGTCCATCTGTCTCCTTTATCGGACGAATATTTTTCCACCAACAACCCTTGGCTTTTTCAAATAGTTAATAGTGAGGGAAAGTAAAAAGAGTATTCTTGGGATTTCACAAGCTTTAAGAAAAATAAAGGGAGATAAAGCAAACAATTGTCTTGGGATCTGAGATGACTGACGAGATAGAGCTTTTAAGGTGGAGCATGATCAGAGTTTTCTAAATAATTTTGTTTTTCTTTTTGCATGGGGTTTGGCTTTTGGCCTCTATGCATTTAACTTTTTTGCTCCTCTTTGATGAACTTTTTTTTTTAAAAAAAAAAGAAAGCAACTGTTCCTCTTAAAACGTACTAGTGACTAAGATTTGATGGACTATTCAAATATTTTGTCTATTTGTTAATAATAATGTTTGTATGAAAGATATGATTATGAATAAGTTTGAACATGTTCTCATTCAACCCGTTTACAAATTTGTTATTAAAAGTTCTTTTTAAATACAACTCATCAATCTCAATAATAAAATAGAATACATTATATCTAGAGATTTTAAGTTCAAATGATTTAAAAAAATCTAAAACAATACTATACAGTAATTCCATCGTTCTGTTAAAAATGGGATTTAAAAAGAGTTCCAATGTACGAGCCTTTGAAATGTCTTTTGCAGTGGCCGAGAGACCAGCCCACCTCACAACTTAGTGGACGCTGTGGAATTCGTGTATGCCTCGGGGTTTTACACTTTGAAACAGCGAAGGGATTGATACATAATTATTGAAGACAGGACGTTTAAAAGAAGGTATATCGATATGAACTGAGAGAAGGATAAAAAACCCCAGCAGCTTTGAAATTGACTACACATTCACACTCGTGTACGGGGGGAATACACAGTTGTGTGCCCATGCAGAAAAGAAAAAGGGATTTGAGCATTTGGCCCCCCATTTTGCAGTGGTTAAACGCTTGAACGATGTGTTCCCTAGGGGTTGGCAATCACTCCATGCCACGCTTCAATTAATGATTCAGATGGAGAATCGTGTAGTATTCAACTTCAATGGGAGAATGCCAAAAATCACATATGGTCCACATCCCACCCTGCTTTCCCACAGATTTTATCCATTGGGAAAACATAATTATGCTTGCACACAGTTGTTAGCTTCATCTATTGAATATGAATCAGAAAATGGGGAATGTTTTCATCTTTAAATTTTCCACGAAAATTCTGATAATCCGAGCATGTTCAAACCATTGATAATAAGTTTACTCTAAAAATTCATCCAGTCCCCATCACGTTTTCTCAAAACCACTTAATGTTATTATACCTCTACTTCCACATCAAGCTATTATTGTTTCCTTCCCCTTCCTTTCTTCGCTGGCTGTGCTTCTATCTGCTCTTTCCCTGAAATTTCTGATATGTCCACTGCATCAGAGAGAAGAATGCTAACTAGTTAGAAAATCCAGATACATGCACGGGTAAATAATAAAGGATATGTATGTGCATAAGAAACTCCATAGGACCGGCACCAGATTTTCAGAATCTTATCCAGTTAGATTCTTGATTATAGATTTTCTGTATGTCAACGAAACTCCAAGCTATTTTTTTACCACTTCAAATTTCAGATTTAAAAATACAATTGTTTGCAGGAATACGGACATCGTAGAAAAGTCATTGTCTCTTATCTCTTAAGTTTGGAAAGCATGCATTTAATTGCTGTATGATCTTCGTAAATAATCATGATTTGTGCGTGCACACAGATATGTTATTCTTGTTACAAAGGCATGAAATACAATACCATCAGGTCCCCGAGCCATCAAAGTGAAGAATATGTTGTTCAGCTTCTCCATCTTCTTCGCGTCCTGCGCTTGATCAGTCTTGAACTTGAGGCACTGATAACATGAAACAGTTCATCATGAGCAAACCCCATAACATATAGCATAGAAGTAGAGTAACATCAAGTTGAGATATCATATTCCCCATAAAAGTTTCAAAGTTACAACCGATTGGTTCTTTTCCTTTATAATCCAAAGGCAAAAAAGACAGTAGAAGGTTAAAACAGAAAACCTCAGCTGATTATATTTACACTAGTTATGAGTATCATATTTACAGAAATAGTATGTGATCGGAAAGACAGAAGCAAACGTCAAGATTTAATTGTCACTGCCTGATATATAACATTTGCCCAACAAGATGATTATACTAGTTTTATATGTGATCCCTCAACTAATTTGAGCCTTTAAAATTGTCCACAAGCTATTAGCTGATATCTGCAGACTCCAATTAGGCTCTTAAATATTCAACTTGAGATAACATGCAACAAGGGATTCTTATCTACTACATCCTTCACCATATGCCCATTATCCAAGCATAGCCCTCACAGCACAATGGACCTTTGCACTAAGTTCTAAACCTAAAAATGACAGACGATTAAGCAGACTTCAATTAAGCTCTAGTCATTTAAGTTTGAGATATTCAGGTGAACAAGAACAATTGACCCTTTTCTCCCATCATATCCTCAATCCTCAAACTCTTAACACTAATCTTTCAAAGACAGAAATTTGTAAGAATGTATGTTCAGATAACCGACATCTAATGACACATAGGTCAGATATAACTAACAGGTTTAAATTCATATACTTTTATCGCCTTCAAATTCATGGTTTCAAGTGCAGACTACAATCACCGGGTTAAAGGAACACTTAAACTTATCTGAAAACAACCGAGCAAATCAGGTTTCATGGAAAGAAGCATAACCATTAAGGAATTTTCAAAATCTCAAAACAAGGAAAGATTCGAGAGCCACAAGGAATGCTTTACTCGTATAATAAAAAAAATCAGCGTAACACCAATCTAGTATCCCTTCATCAGTTAATGCAAACCTCATTGAAACAGATTCCTAAAGATCTTTGAATGCAACTCCCTAGCCCTTTCCTGCCAAGAGGTCAGAAAAACCAACAAACATAGCCTATTGGCACTAGCAAAATTCACTCATGCATTTTCGCTACTTATGAAATAGTCAAATGCATAATAGCATTTCTCTAGTTTGGGGGGCATAAATGGAGAAAAGAATCAGTTTAACTGCAATTTTTTTATGTATAGTCTAAATAAATTGCCTCAAGAGAAGATAGGAAACTAAGAAGCTATGTTACTCCAACCCTACATTTTTATTGAAGTGCCTATGCCTAACACTTGTGTCCAATGCATATCCTGACATGAGTATGGGGATTTGACCTCCAAATACATAGAAAAGGGAAACAATTGAACATACTCATGTAGGACACATACCCTAATCTGACAAACATCCTAGTCCAAAAGAAATTTTACCAAGGGGCAAGACCAGGTTCATACTGCTATTTCAAGAAACCTTGGTCTTCCATTATTTTTTATCATGAGTTTTGCCTGTTTCTTTTTACCTCGACAACATAACCATCCATCAAATTCCTTTGTATTTTTTTCCTTTTTTTGGAGGGCACGCTGTTTATGCGGAATCACTTCTGAAATTACATCAAGAAAGCTAAAAAGGATACAATACCAAGCACGTTATCCGCGGAAAGCATATGAGCAAATCTTTGATTATGAGTAAGCAGATGTCAGATTCTCACACATTTTCTTAATTAATCCCAAATCTAACACACTTGTTTGGGAATAATCATCAATCAACACTTCACCATAACGATTGAATCAAACAAAGCCAACCACGTAAACAATTAGGGAAATTCAGTTCATACCTCTTTGTTGTCAGTTACCTTCAAAACCAATTTGCCATCACAATGCCGGTACTTCATGCAATACCGCGTCTAGGTCCCCCGATCCAAATCCAGAAAAACAAACCCAAAAAAGTTGGTAAAAATCGTATCTTATATTTAAGAAACCCTAACAGCCTGAAAGTTCCCTTTTTTATATAATAAGAATGACAGTAAATAGAGTAAAGTTAACATACAGATTCTGGATCGGCACGGAACAACTGCACAGTTCTCTCGACAAACTCGTCCCATGATGTTATATAAACCATCGCGTCGTCAATCGAAGAAGAACCTAACGAATTTCAATGGGAATCTGCAATCGGATTGTCCTCACACTAAAAAAAATGTTCCTTTTAATGACTTTCCCCTTTTTAGCGCGCGCAGAGCGGGGGGCGGCGCAATGGCGGATTTTATGAGCTATAAATATTGCAGTCAAAGGTCACTCTTTAGAAGCGGGTCCGGGAATGACCGTTCAATGGCCTCGCCAAGGTGGAATGCAACGAGTCATGGATTCACCTTTGGGTTAATCAGATGGTTAATAATCGAATCATATTTAATGATCATCGAGTGTCACTCATGTTCGCATATAAATTTGATATTTTTTTTCGAAACGATTTTTTTATAAAAAAAATAAATTTAATTTTTAATTAAGTGATTTAAAAAATTTCGTCTCGATTAATTTAGTGTTTTTCATTTTAAGTTAAAAAATAGTTTGAAGAATTGTCACCAATATTTGATTTGGATGTGATTGTGCACTCAAAATATTTTATCATTTTAATAAAATTTAATTTAAAATTTATTAAAATAGGTATGCATACCAAAAATTGAATTCGAGAGTCGATTACGCGTGGGGAAGGATTAACACTCCCATAGCACCCTAAATCGGTAACAATTCGATTAATTATCTTTGTAATGAGTTTTATAAGTTCGAATTTAATTTAATTTAAGATCCATTCAAATAATATTTTTTGAATTTATGATCACATTAATTGTCTTTTTGCATCTTTGTTGTTGATGGAGCATTTAGGGGTATTGTTGGAAGCATGGGACCACCGATGATGTGTGTGACTCACCTCTCTTTCGCAGACGATCTTTTGATTTTCTGCAAAGGCAACGTTGATTATGTGGCTGGTGTCCTAAGTGTCCTTGAACAGTTCTACCAAGTCTCATGACTCAATCTTAACACTTCTAAAAGTGAATTATTTGTTGTGGGTATTTCTTCAAGGACTCTTGAGGAAATTAAAATCATTTCTGGTTTCAAGATAGGGAACTTGCCTGTTAGATACCTCGGCATCCCTCTCGTTACACGGAAGCTAACGGTGAAAGATTGCGAACCTTTGCTCGAAAAGATCAGACAACGGTTGCAGCACTGGTCTGGTAGAAATCTTAGCTACACGGGCAGGCTTGAACTAATTCGCTCAGTCCTGTTCAGTGTCTGCAATTTTTGGTGCAGGCAACTCATTCTTTTGGCTTCCATTCTTAAAACAGTGGATCAATTCTGTTCCAGGTTTTCTGGAAATGAGCTGATAAATCAGCAGCCGATGCCAGAGTCAGTTGGGAGAGCATCTGTCTTTTGAAGTCTGAAGAAGGTTTGGGATTGAAAAACACTTCTATCTGGAACAGAGCTTGTATCATAAGCCTTATTAGAAAGGTTCTTGCAGGTGATGGATCATTATGGGTAGCATGGATTAATTCTTATGTCCTTACGAATCATGATTTCTGGAATTTTGAAGCAGGTTCAAATGTCAGCTGGAGTTTTCACAGAATTTTAAAGTTGAGACCAATTGCTTACCCTATTGTTACGTATTCTCCTCAGCCGATTAGGGAAGTTTGGGACAAGATTCGGACTCAAGGCATTAAAGTTCATTGGCATAGACTGATTTGGTACCCTTTGCATATTCCAAAGCACAGTTTGATCTCTTGGATGGCATTATTGGACAGGTTACCTATTAGAGATCGTTTGCGGAGAATGGGGTTATGTTTTGATTCTATATGCATAAACTGCTGCCAATTTCAAGAATCGCGAGATCATCTTTTTTCTCAATGTTCTTTTGCTGTTGGACTTTGGAAAGCTATTTTGAAGCTTAATGGTATGTCTTATTCTCCTCTCACTTGGGAAACAATGGTCTATCGGGCAAGAACTTCCTGGAAAGGGAAGTCTCTAATCACCACTTTGCTGAATATTTCTTGGAACGCTTTCATTTATTCCATCTGGAAGGAACGAAATCAACATATTTTCCAGGGTCGATTTAGATCGATCGATTCTTTGCTTAAAGATATAGTCGAAGCTGTTAGTATTAGACTAAGGGGTAAAGCTATAGATAGACTTGATAGTACTAATTTTTATCTCTGTAATGCTTGGGGTATAGTCTAACCAATCTTTGGTTCTTTTTGTAATTGGGATGTCTTGTTGTTGTTGATTGGTTGTAGCAACATTGCTATTTTGGGTAATAAACTGTTGATTTATCCAAAAAAAACATAAAATAATAATTAAATAATTAGTTAGCCCATATATGCATTTAGATAAGTAGAGCTCAAACAAAAATTTCGGACAAAAATGCGTATCTACACTTTTGTTCTAGCCTCCACGAGCTCAACATCATGAAGATCAATTACCTTCGAGCAAGGCCCAATAGTAGGTCTCGTGATCTTTTGTTATTAAGCCCACAGCAGCAGTCCTGTTTGCCTTACTGTATGTTCCATCAATGTTGGTTTTAATGCATTCATCCATCGATCTAGTTTAAATAATTTCTCTTTGTTATCGAGAAAGAGTGAATCGATGATCAAAGAGTAGAGCAATTCGATTGAATAATCTTGATGTTCTTATAAATAATTTATGTCAATTGTAAAGTATTCTCGTAAATATTTTATTCATTCGATTTTAATTATTCCATAGAAAAATAATGCTGCTCGTGAAGTTAGTCAAGTCGAGTAGCTGCATAACCCCATCCAGCCATTCAAGACACTATGCACTATGGGCGTTATGAATTCTTGGATCCCATGAACCAAAGCTAAGGACTTCTCTTATACTCAAACAATCACGAGGTGAAATCTCTGATTCAAATGGAAGAAGTAGGTCATATTAGTTTAGGAATAAACAAAGAATAAGGAGATAATCAGAAAACGTGGAATTAAATACTGAACTGAAGGATTTGGTGTCAGTTAAACAGTAGAAGAAACGGGGACAATGACAAACCACTGCAGTTAAAAGAAAAGTTCTTAGTGACCGATACTGGACTATTTAAAGATATCAAGCTTTGAGGGGGGGGGGGGAAGGTAAACAACAGAGTTGCATGCTAGCCTTATTGTTTTGAATTTGTCTTTCAAATATTTCACAACAGTTTTGTTTCCCTGCCTAAAAGTGTCATCCGAATGTTGAAAAAAAAATCAGACAAGGTTGCACTAATAAAGCGAATTGGTTAAAGAAAGGATTATTATACCTAGAGGTTTCGGGTCTGAGCACACCCTCCGTAAGGGTATTTGGCCGTTCATTGTCGAATGTTTCAAAGTCTTTAAAATAAATATTACTATTGTAATCATCTGGAACTAATAAAAAAACAGACAACGTTCCACATGTTTAAGTCAAATATAGAAGAATGGAGGATTGTATGTCTTAATTTAACCCTTAACATGTTTAGGTCAATCCAATCCTGAAACACTGGTTCATATTAAAAACTGTGACTTTGAAGTGGATATTAGAACCATAACCTTCTCTTTTTAGCATGTAAAAACTTTGGGATTTATACAAGCCGCAACACACTAGGGTAAATAAAGTTCATGAAAATCTTCTACTTCACATTACTAATAAGAACATCATTACATCAACATGTGCTCAATAGAGAAAACAAGTAGCAATAACACCTATTTACGGGGTTTTACTTCATAAACTGTTTCTCAAGTCAATTTATGCCAAATATTAACTGTAGGATAAATTTCTTGGCATTTGCAGTCGACGTAAGCTTCTTCATTTCAGATGGGACTTCTTGTAGTTGCACGTCTCATTTTCTTTGGGTCTAATGGGCTTAATTCTAGCACGAACGACTGTATCCAAATTAAACCCAAAACGTTTTAGGCCGATAAGAACCTTATTTTAACTAAAGAATTAGACCCTGTTATGAAGACTAACGAGGAAGAAGGTAAGAGAAAATTAGAGATGAAACGAGACAGTAAAGAGCTAAGAGAACAAAGTGGAAACTAATTGCTGAGCTGAAGGATTGGGTGTCTGGTAAAGCAGCAAAACACTAGAAAAAACGGGGAAGGACGAACAGAAACCTCTTCTGCTTGAAGAAAGGTATGGTTTCAGATATATCGGTGACTGATAGTGGACTTAGAAACAGAGATTGGTTAATTCAAAAAGACTTGAGTTGTAGGAATTGTTGATATTAGATTGCAACATGGCCGAGCGTGTAGATTCTGTGGGTGGCTCAGATAGGATAAGTAGTTTGCCTGATCCTACCATTTGTCATATTTTGTCCTTCCTTCCCATTAAAGATGCAGTTTAAACCTCAATTCTTTCACCCCGGTGGAGGTATCTTTTCGTTTCATCAATTTCTATCCTTGATTTCAATAGTTGTTTATCGCATATGTCGTCGCCTACTGAAAATGATAACAACTTCCTGAATTTGTCGATAGATTATTTTCCAACCCCAAACAGCTAAGTTTAGATTGCTTGAGGGTGAATGATCATTGGGTGAGGAAGGATGGCATTCCACGAGGTGAGAATTATTCACGCCTTAATCGTTGGATATGTGCTGCGTTGCGGTGTGGTGTTAAGGAAATTGATGCAAATTTGATGTTTGAAGATACTTACACTTTACCGAGTCTTCTGTTTACTTGCCAGACATTGGTGACACTGAAACTGAATATCAATTTTGATTTGAAGGTTCCGGCCAATGTTCATTTACCAAATCTGAAGACGCTGCATTTTGCATACTCTGAATTTATAGATGGTGGTTCAGTTCTTAGGTTAATTTCCAGTTGCCCTGTCCTAGAAAATTTGGAATCCATTCATTGTGAATTTCGTAATATAAGTGAGCTCAATATCCATAAGCTTTCACTTAAAAGATTGGTTTTAGACTTTGGTGAGTTGTATGTTGGTTCTCACAGAGGTTTCAATGTCATCGAGATCAATGCTCCAAATCTGGTTTATTTCAAATATGTTGATGGAATGGCTGAAGGATATACTTTAAGTGAAATGAAATCTCTAGAAAGAACTCATATTGAAATCACTCTAACGGATAGCGAGGACCTTGAACGTGCAGCAAATCTTCTTCAGGGAGTTTGCAATGTACAGTCCCTTTATTTAGCTATTGAAGATGACTCTAAAATGGTTAGTGTACGTAGTAATATTCAAGTCTATCTTTTCTTTTAACATTATATTATAGTTCCTTTTTTTGTGTACAGCTTTTTCTGGCACCTCTTGATCCAATGCTTGCATTTAACAACCTTGTTGAGCTGGAATTTCGTAATTACTTGAATGATGATTGGCAAGGAACGTGGATTTTGGAGTTTCTGCATTGCATGCCTAATCTAAAGACACTTGTCCTGGATCTCCTGAATCTGGTATGAAGGCTTCTCTAAATACCATTTAAGATTAAGTGTACAAATTGAACTCATTAATCGACCTTGGTGGTAAAAGAGTGTCGATCTCCCTACAGGTTCTAGGTTTGAGCAGTTGCTTGTGTTTGATTTGTGTGTTGTCAACAGTCGAGAAAGATTCTGAACAATACTATTTTGTAAATTCAATTACAAACTTACTAACTTTTTTCTCTTCCTTTTTTGTATGCTTAGGCAAGTACATCGGAAGGCTTCAGGTCACGGCGTACAACGGTGCCTCCGTGTTTGTTATTTAACATCGAGGAGATTGAAATCAAATGATTTGAGAACGAGAAGCATATGTTTGAAATGTTAAGTTATTTCTTGAAACATGCATCAGTGATGGAGAAGCTCATAATTAGGGACATGGATGTGTGTGAGCAAGAGTTTTCGACTGTCATCGTTATGTCTCTTCTATTTTGTATCGTGTTAGAAACACTTCATTGTCCTCAATTGGTTTGGCGGTTTTGTATAGCTATTTTTGTTGGGAATTAAATGACAAATGCTACGTGATATTATTGTCATTGTTTTAAAGTTTCAATTTTGTCATTGATATTTGCTGTTAATATATTGTACTTATTCAATATGAAAGGCATAATGAGGAAAATATTATTAATGACAAAATACAAGGTTAAAATGTTGGGCGTAATGTTAAAAAATTATCACTTTGGTCATAATTTTTTTAACACTTACACTCTTAACATTTTATTTGCGAATAAAATGAACCATGTTTGGATAGAATTTGAAAAAATTATATTATCATTTATCTTTATTTCTTCACGATGATAATCTGCACCTACATAATAAATTTTCTTTGTTATTGTACACCAAGTATGAGAATATCGTACATATCATTAATTTAGACTGAATCGACCTAAATCCAACTGGATTAAATTAGATTGAATCAAGCTAAATTCAATCATTCAAACCGAACCATCGAACATGACATGTTGACTTTGATTGACCTATTGATCGATTTGATCAGTTGATTGTTGATCGATCTGACTTGTTGACTGTTAACCACCACCGTCGACCATGATCGTTGATTTTCGATGTTAATTTTTGGGTTGACTTTAACTTGATATTTTTTGACTTCTTGAATTCGATTTTGTTATTTGTTTTGTTTGATTCTAACCTAAGCTTTCATTTACCCTCCGCACTAACTATTTACTTTTTCTAATGCATTTACTATTTGGATTTGAGACTTACATATGATAGTTGTTTATGAAGCTAACGGTGAAAGATTGCGAACCTTTGCTCGAAAAGATCAGACAACGGTTGCAGCACTGGTCTGGTAGAAATCTTAGCTACACGGGCAGGCTTGAACTAATTCGCTCAGTCCTGTTCAGTGTCTGCAATTTTTGGTGCAGGCAACTAATTCTTCTGGCTTCCATTCTTAAAACAGTGGATCAATTCTGTTCCAGGTTTTCTGGAAATGAGCTGATAAATCAGCAGCCGGTGCCAGAGTCAGTTGGGAGAGCATCTGTCTTTTGAAGTCTGAAGAAGGTTTGGGATTGAAAAACACTTCTATCTGGAACAGAGCTTGTATCATAAGCCTTATTAGAAAGGTTCTTGCAGGTGATGGATCATTATGGGTAGCATGGATTAATTCTTATGTCCTTACGAATCATGATTTCTAGAATTTTGAAGCAGGTTCAAACGTCAGCTGGAGTTTTCACAGAATTTTAAAGTTGAGACCAATTGCTTACCCTATTGTTACGTTTGCTCCTCAGCCGATTAGGGAAGTCTGGGACATGATTCGGACGCAAGGCATTAAAGTTCATTGGCATAGATTGATTTGGTACCCTTTGCATATTCCAAAACACAGTTTGATCTCTTGGATGGCATTATTGGACAGATTACCTACTAGAGATCGTTTGCGGAGAATGGGGTTATGTTCTGATTCTATATGCGTAAGCTGCTGCCAATTTCAAGAATCGCGGGATCATCTTTTTTCTCAATGTTCTTTTGCTGTTGGACTTTGGAAAGCTATTTTGAAGCTTAATGGTATGTCTTATTCTCCTCTCACTTGGGAAACAATGGTCTCTTGGGCAAGCACTTCCTGGAAAGGGAAGTCTCTAATCACCACTTTGCTGAATATTTCTTGGAACGCTTTCATTTATTCCATCTGGAAGGAACGAAATCAACATATTTTCCAGGGTCGATTTAGATCGATCGATTCTTTGCTTAAAGATATAGTCGAAGCTGTTAGTATTAGACTAAGGGGTAAAGCTATAGATAGACTTGATAGTACTAATTTTTATCTCTGTAATGCTTGGGGTATAGTCTAACCAATCTTTGGTTCTTTTTGTAATTGGGATGTCTTGTTGTTGTTGATTGGTTGTAGCAACATTGCTATTTTGGGTAATAAACTGTTGATTTATCCAAAAAAAACATAAAAATAATAATTAAATAATTAGTTAGCCCATATATGCATTTAGATAAGTAGAGCTCAAACAAAAATTTCGGACGAAAATGCGTATCTACACTTTTGTTCTAGCCTCCACGAGCTCAACATCATGAAGATCAATTACCTTCGAGCAAGGCCCACAATAGTAGGTCTCGTGATATTTTGTTATTAAGCCCACAGCAGCAGTCCTGTTTGCCTTACTGTATGTTCCATTAATGTTGGTTTTAATGCATTCATCCATCGATCTAGTTTAAATAATTTCTCTTTGTTATCGAGAAAGAGTGAATCGATGATCAAAGAGTAGAGCAATTCGATTGAATAATCTTGATGTTCTTATAAATAATTTATGTCAATTGTAAAGTATTCTCGTAAATATTTTATTCATTCGATTTTAATTATTCCATAGAAAAATAATGCTGCTCGTGAAGTTAGTCAAGTCGAGTAGCTGCATAACCCCATCCAGCCATTCAAGACACTATGCACTATGGGCGTTATGAATTCTTGGATCCCATGAACCAAAGCTAAGGACTTCTCTTATACTCAAACAATCACGAGGTGAAATCTCTGATTCAAATGGAAGAAGTAGGTCATATTAGTTTAGGAATAAACAAAGAATAAAGAGATAATCAGAAAACGTGGAATTAAATACTGAACTGAAGGATTTGGTGTCAGTTAAACAGTAGAAGAAACGGGGACAATGACAAACCACTGCAGTTAAAAGAAAAGTTCTTAGTGACCGATACTGGACTATTTAAAGATATCAAGCTTTGAGGGGGGGGGGGGGAAGGTAAACAACAGAGTTGCATGCTAGCCTTATTGTTTTGAATTTGTCTTTCAAATATTTCACAACAGTTTTGTTTCCCTGCCTAAAAGTGTCATCCGAATGTTGAAAAAAAAATCAGACAAGGTTGCACTAATAAAGCGAATTGGTTAAAGAAAGGATTATTATACCTAGAGGTTTCGGGTCTGAGCACACCCTCCGTAAGGGTATTTGGCCGTTCATTGTCGAATGGTTCAAAGTCTTTAAAATAAATATTACTATTGTAATCATCTGGAACTAATAAAAAAAACAGACAACGTTCCACATGTTTAAGTCAAATATAGAAGAATGGAGGATTGTATTCTTAATTTAACCCTTAACATGTTTAGGTCAATCCAATCCTGAAACACTGGTTCATATTAAAAACTGTGACTATGAAGTGGATATTAGGACCATAACCTTCTCTTTTTAGCATGTAAAAACCTTGGGATTTATACAAGCCGCAACACACTAGGGTAAATAAAGTTCATGAAAATCTTCTACTTCACATTACTAATAAGAACATCATTACATCAACATGTGCTCAATAGAGAAAACAAGTAGTCATAACACCTATTTACGGGGTTTTACTTCATAAACTGTTTCTCAAGTCAATTTATGCCAAATATTAACTGTAGGATAAATTTCTTGGCATTTGCAGTCGACGTAAGCTTCTTCATTTCAGATGGGACTTCTTGTAGTTGCACGTCTCATTTTCTTTGGGTCTAATGGGCTTAATTCTAGCACGAACGACTGTATCCAAATTAAACCCAAAACGTTTTAGGCCGATAAGAACCTGATTTTAACTAAAGAATTAGACCCTGTTATGAAGACCAACGAGGAAGAAGAAGGTAAGAGAAAATTAGAGATGAAACGAGACAGTAAAGAGCTAAGAGAACAAAGTGGAAACTAATTGCTGAGCTGAAGGATTGGGTGTCTGGTAAAGCAGCAAAACACTAGAAAAAACGGGGAAGGACGAACAGAAACCTCTTCTGCTTGAAGAAAGGTATGGTTTCAGATATATCGGTGACTGATAGTGGACTTAGAAACAGAGATTGGTTAATTCAAAAAGACTTGAGTTGTAGGAATTGTTGATATTAGATTGCAACATGGCCGAGCGTGTAGATTCTGTGGGTGGCTCAGATAGGATAAGTAGTTTGCCTGATCCTATCATTTGTCATATTTTGTCCTTCCTTCCCATTAAAGATGCAGTTAAAACCTCAATTCTTTCACCCCGGTGGAGGTATCTTTTCGCTTCATCAATTTCTATCCTTGATTTCAATAGTTGCTTATCGCATATGTCGTCGCCTACTGAAAATGATAACAACTTCCTGAATTTTGTCGATATATTATTTTCCAACCCCAAACAGCTAAGTTTAGATTGCTTGAGGGTGAATGATCATTGGGTGAGGAAGGATGGCATTCCACGGGGTGAGAATTATTCACGCCTTAATCGTTGGATATGTGCTGCGTTGTGGTGTGGTGTTAAGGAAATTGATGCAAATTTGATGTTTGAATATACTTACACTTTACCGAGTCTTCTGTTTACTTGCCAGACATTGGTGACACTGAAACTGAATATCAACTGTGATTTGAAGGTTCCAGCCAATGTTCATCTACCAAATCTGAAGACTCTGCATTTTGCATACTCTGAATTTCTAGATGGTGGTTCAGTTCTTAGGTTAATTTCCAGTTGCCCTGTCCTAGAAAATTTGGAATCCATTCATTGTGAATTTCGTAATATAAGTGAGCTCAATATCCATAAGCTTTCACTTAAAAGATTGGTTTTAGACTTTGGTGAGTTGTATGTTGGTTCTCACAGAGGTTTCAATGTCATCGAGATCAATGCTCCAAATCTGGTTTATTTCAGATATGTTGATGGAATGGCTGAAGGATATACTTTAAGTGAAATGAAATCTCTAGAAAGAACTCATATTGAAATCACTCTAACGGATAGCGAGGACCTTGAACGTGCAGCAAATCTTCTTCAGGGAGTTTGCAATGTACAGTCCCTTTATTTAGCTATTGAAGATGACTCTAAAACGGTTAGCGTACGTAGTAATATTCAAGTCTATCTTTTCTTTTAACATTATATTATAGTTCTTTTTTTTTGTGTACAGCTTTTTCTGGCACCTCTTGATCCAATGCTTGCATTTAACAACCTTGTTGAGCTGGAATTTCGTAATTACTTGAATGATGATTGGCAAGGAACGTGGATTTTGGAGTTTCTGCATTGCATGCCTAATCTAAAGACACTTGTCCTGGATCTCCTGAATCTGGTATGAAGGCTTCTCTAAATACCATTTAAGATTAAGTGTACAAATTGAACTCATTAATCGACCTTGGTGGTAAAAGAGAGTGTCGATCTCCCTACAGGTTCTAGGTTTGAGCAGTTGCTTGTGTTTGATTTGTGTGTTGTCAACGGTCGAGAAAGATTCTGAACAATACTACTTTGTAAATTCAATTACAAACTTACTAACTTGTTTCTCTTCCTTTTTTGTATGCTTAGGCAAGTACATCGGAAGGCTTCAGGTCACGGCGTACAACGGTGCCTCCGTGTTTGTTATTTAACATCGAGGAGATTGAAATCAAATGATTTGAGAACGAGAAGCATATGTTTGAAATGTTAAGTTATTTCTTGAAACATGCATCAGTGATGGAGAAGCTCATAATTAGGGACATGGATGTGTGTGAGCAAGAGTTTTCGACTGTCATCGTTATGTCTCTTCTATTTTGTATCGTGTTAGAAACACTTCATTGTCCTCAATTGGTTTGGCGGTTTTGTATAGCTATTTTTGTTGGGATTTAAATGACAAATGCTACGTGGTATTATTGTCATTGTTTTAAAGTTTCAATTTTGTCATTGATATTTGCTGTTAATATATTGTACTTATTCAATATTAAAGGCATAATGAGGAAAAATATTATTAATGACAAAATACAACGTTAAAATGTTGGGCATAATGTTAAAAAATTATCACTTTGGTCATAATTTTTTTAACACTTACACTCTTAACATTTTATTTGCGAATAAAATGAACCATGTTTGGATAGAATTTGAAAAAATTATATTATCATTTATCTTTATTTCTTCACAATGATAATCTGCACCTACATAATAAATTTTCTTTGTTATTGTACACCAAGTATGAGAATATCGTACATATCATTAATTTAGACTGAATCGACCTAAATCCAACTGAATTAAATTAGATTGAATCGAGTTAAATTCAATCATTCAAACCGAACCATCCAACATGACATGTTGACTTTGATTGACCTATTGATCGATTTGATCAGTTGATTGTTGATCGATCTGACTTGTTGACTGTTAACCACCACCATCGACCATGATCGTTGATTTTCGATGTTAATTTTTGGGTTGACTTTAACTTGATATTTTTTGACTTCTTGAATTCGATTTTGTTATCAGTTTTGTTTGATTCTAACCTAAGCTTTCGTTTACCCTCCGCACTAACTATTTACTTTTTCTAATGCATTTACTATTTGGATTTGAGACTTACATATGATAGTTGTTTATGAAGGTGACTCGATCTCATCCGAACAATCACTAATAGATTAAAATTTGCCTCCTATTCAGTTTAACTGCAACTATTCAACTAGAGTTACACGTAAAATGACATAACCTAAAAAACTGTGATTTTCTGATATCTTAGAATGAGTTATTCCAACATTATCATGGACTGAGGAGGAAAAGAGATTTGTAATCAACCGAGTAAAGGGAAAATAGTTGTGGCATGAATTATTAATGTGTTGAAAGGATTCAAACACGAGCTGGAGTGCCACGGGTGTAAGCCCAAAGTGTGACTGAAGGGAGAAGCCCACTTACTCTTAGCATCACCCAGGGAGGGTCCAATAGAAAGTAGTCCAACCGAAGCCCAACAAAATCAAGGCAAATTGGAGTCCAAGAAGCAGCAACCAGCCTGCACAAAAGAGACAAAATTAGCTATTATCAGGACAACTGAATTACTTGCAACTCTGTTAAACAATATTATTCTAAATATTTAGAAATGAAAATTACTTCTCAGAAATCAAAAACTCTTCCCTCTTTTAATTATCCTTCTTTAAATTACTGAAAATCAAAGCTTGATATAATTTTCATTTTATAACATCAATTTCATTGAACACGGCTAGTTGATGTCGCAACCACGAAGCTGAAAAGACTGGTAATATTGGAAGCTGCTGCCTAAGCTATCCTCCATTACTATCCGACGTGACAATATACAAGAACATAGTTGTCAAATAACAAAAATAAATGCACGGTTAACTAAGCGTGTCTACCAAGCATCTTCTCCTTCATTTCTCATTACCTCCTTAACTCTTTATCCAATTCTCCCCCCCCCCAAAAAAAAGAAATTCCTCGAGCCCTCTCTTTCCTTTCAATGGAGTTTTTTTTTTTTTTACATTTCTAGGTTCGATCAAAGTGCTTCACTGCCTCTCATTTATATATATATATATATGCTTTCACTTTTTTTTTCCTTTTGGACACGGATATGCGATTAACTGCTGATTGTATATTACTGACTCTTTATGTTGATCCGCAGATAAAAGAGGTGACATCTACTGTTTGCTCGACGCAGCTTTCAAAGGAGACTTGAATAAAGTACTGAATCGTCAGTTTCTTTATGAGATTTGAGAGTTTATTAGATTGTCACTTACATCACTGTTATTTTGTGTGTCTGTGAACGTAGGGTTGGTGTACGAGCTTGATGTGGAAGGCGATTTGGCAGGAAAATTGCTGCTGCTAAGGAAGATAATGGCCGCAATGCACTTCATGTGGCGTCGTTGGGTGGAAGAACGCATATTCTGAAATATCTCGTCGGCCAACTGAAAATGGATGTTAACGTCAAAGATGACGAAGGTATGCCTTGTTTTTTATTCCAGTTTCGCATTTCCTAAAGTTCTTTTGTATATATCAACTTTTAGTTATTTCTTCTGGTAATTTTATTGTTTCTGTTTATATGCTTTAAAATGAAGTAAGAAGAACGTAATCATAATATTTGATTCTAAATGAAAGTGCACATTTGGTTGAATAAACGATGCTTTTTTGGTAGGTGATACTCCTTTGAATTGTTCTATTGAACGGAATCATTTTCCCACTGCCGTTTACCTTATTGACAATGGCGCAAATCTGAACGCAATGAATAAAGAGGGGGTCACTGCTTTGCATCTTGCCGCTATGGAAGGTGAATCTTTGATTTTATATAGCATGCAGTTATTTTCCTATTGCTCGGTTTGTTTGTAATCTATTTACAATTGCCAACTTTACGAAAATTTTACATATTTCAGTTACCGATTCCCTTTGCTTATTAGTGGTCTTTTCTGAAGCAAGTATCCCTTCATTCTACTACTTTCAGTTGGGAGAGTGAACATAGTTACAGTATTCTCTTCGCATGATCCAATGATGGAAAGAACATTATGATGTTTTGCAAGTTACATTTTTAGTTGTTCATCCTTTCGTTGAGCCAGATTAGTATAATATTTTTGATATTTTGGTTGGAATGTTGTAGGACCTAAGAAACTTCTTCAGTTGCTAATTTCAAAACGTGCCGAAGTTGATGCTAACCCTGCCGCTGGCACACCACTGCAGCGCGCAGCAGCTGTTGGCAAGAAGGATTGTGTTAAGGTTTTGTTCGAAAACAATGCAAATGTAAGAACTAAGGATAAATAACGTATGTTCTTTTTCTTTTTTTTACAACAATTTTCTGGTTTCAGTTCTTAGGCTGGTCAGGTAGGTAAAGTGCCAACTTCTATCTTGGACATGGAAAATCCTTTTCTTTCTCCGATTTAATCTTCTGCTGTATAGTTCTAAAATGGAACCATAGAGGATTTTACTTGGTATGAGACAAAGACATATGTTTAATAATAACTTTACTAATTCCTGTGTTTTATTTTTGGACAGCCAAATATATGTTCCATTTCTTTGTCTACTGTCATATAAATGACGTTTAAAGTTTTCTTTTGTAATATATTACAGGCAATTAATTGTAATGACATGGATGCAACTTTGTATTCTAACCGAAGCTTGTTTGGGCCCGCCTGGAAGATGGTAAAAATGCATTAAAAGATGCTGAGAGGTGTGTACTGCTAAGTCCCTCCCGGCCAAAGGCTTACAATCGGCTTGGAGTTGCCTTGATGTTGTTGAAGGTGAGCTAACTATGGGCAAGTTCATTTATAAAACAAAATTAATTGAGACGTATCCGTCTAATTTGGGTATCAACATAATGCTAATTGCAGGATTTTGAAAAGGCTGCGGATGCATTTTATGATGGTTGGAAGCTTGACCTGGAAAACAAGGAGCTTGAAAACGCTTTTCGGTAATAGTTTCTTTGTGTATAAACTCAAATCAGTAAACATTGTGGGTGGTAACAAGTGAATGCTCATTTTCGTGTTATTGTTTTAATTAATACTTGTACCTTCACTTTTATCTTCAACCGACCCTTTTATCTCATATTTTTTGTTTACAGGGATGCTATTGAAGCTCAACGCAAGCATGGTTGAAGACGACAGACATTTTACTATGTTTCAGTGAGAACTTTTAACTACCTTTTGATTATTTGATTGTTGTTCCCCGTGGGTTAGGAGTTGCCTTAAAAACATTAGCTGCTATTTTGGTTGTTCTAGTACAGTACTTAAAAACCCCGTGGGTTAGCAACTTCTCCGTGGGTTAAAATTTATATTAAAAGAAAAAACATCTGATCACGAGATTCAATACAAAACGTTGCCGTCGCGAAATCCCGCTAAAAGAAGGAAGAAATGCACTTGTAAAAAGCTCGCATCGGTCTCGCTCTCTTGCTTTACTTAACTTTGCTCGAAAGTCGAGAATCAGCTAAGAATCTTTTCACGAGACCTCTCTTACTCTCTCGCTCCAATCAGATCTTCGTTAACTTCAGCAATGACCTCGCTATCCCTCTTCACGCCTGTGTTATTCACACGCGCCACCCAATCTGGCTACATGCGTCGCCCATGGCACGCGTTCCTGTCATTCTCATCCTTTGCCCGCCCCATATCAGCTGGCGACGCCACCGCACGCTACTTCCCCTATGCCATGAGAATCCTAGCGGTCCTCTTACTCAGCCTGCTATGGCATCCAATCTCCATGATCGTCTTCTTGGTCGTCTTCGTCGCCTGGTTCTTCCTTTACTTCTTCCGAAACGATCCCTTGTATATTATAAACCATCCGATTGACGACCCCATCATACTGGCGATCCTCAGTGTAATTACGGTTGTAGCTCTGGTTGTCATCCACGTTTGGTTGAACGTGTTGGTTTCCATTTTGGTTGGGACTTTCATGGTGGGAGTACACGCTGCGTTCATGGGAACAGAAGATTTGTACGGTGAAGTGGACGGCATCGATGGCGGACTGGCTTCGGTTGCGGGCAGCCCCGCCCGAATTGGGTACTCCCTCGTTTAAAATCCAAACAACTGATTTAAACGGTGAGTTGATTATTTGCATACAGTGGTTTGAAAGAAGAAGAAAAAGAAGCCTTTAAGCGGGAAGCCTAGTAAGTCCAAATCTAAAATAATTAACTGATAAATTAAATATTGGTAGTTAGAGAAAAAAACCTCAAACCGGTAAACGAAATATCTATACCAAATTTAAAAAAAAAAAAGTCGGTACCAAATTTGTAGTTAGTTATATGGGTTTTTTTACCCATGTACTCCAAATATCATTGTTATTTTTCAATATACCCCATATTTTAGATTAACTGCCCAATACTCCATTTTCCAGTTATTCTAAAATCAATCAACTAATATTATTATAAATTTTAAGTTATTCAAAATATTATTTAAATTGTTATAGTTTTATTTTACAATTTCACTCATTTAAATTTTTTCAAATTGAATCAAGTCAATTTGATATAAGCTTTTTAAAATATTTTTTTTCAAATCAAATTAATTTAAGTATAAAATATTAATTATATTTGTTGAGTCGAGTTTAGTTTGATCACCTCTACTATTAAGATCTAAGATGATGATGAATACAAGTGGCAGTTGGCATGAGTGGTTCTAGGTCATGGATGAGGGGTTTTTTTCCTTTTCACAAATTCTGTCCATGTGGATGGCCCTTTTGGGTGTTTTGTACTTTGTGCTTTACTTTTCCAGTGTAATAAGTGAAGCGAAAGTAAGCATTTTTGGTGGGAAGTTATGCGGCAGAACATATATTTAGGGGTGATTTTGGTTCACGGAATGTAAGATTATCAGTGAGAAATTTAGGGGTGAGTTTGGTTCACGGAATGTAAGATTATCAGTGAGAATAAAAGATTATCAGTGAGAATAAAAGATTACCAGTGAGAATAAAAGATTACCAGAGAATAGGATTACTATGAATGTTGTATTTTGTGTTTGGTTGGTTTAGCAGGAATGTAAGATTACCGTGTTTGGTTAAAGGAATAAAATATTATTGGAATGTATATTTAACCAAATTGTATTTATTATATATTTGTATAATATTACAAATTGTAAAATATTTATATATTTTCTTAAAAAAATTAAATTCATAATATTTATATAATTTTGTTTACAAAATTAAAAAAATAAAAAAGGTTTAATGAAAGAATAAAAAAAAATTTAATCCCTGAACTTTATATAAAATTTTAATTATAGATTTTTTTTTTGTAAATCTAAAATAATTTAAGGATAAATTTGTAATTTAACCTTCGTAGAATTTTTATTATTCAATGACAGAAGAAGGATATTTTTGAAAAAAAATCTACTATTAGTAATAAAACATTACCGGGAATGAGATTCCCGACCAACCAAACATGGGAATGTGGGATTCTCATCCCATGGAAATCCCACAATTCTTGAACCAAACACCCCCTTAAGGTTAAAAAACGATGATGGTAAAGACGATGAATATAGGATGTGACCGAAAATATTATTAAAAGATATAACATTTTATGTTAGATACAACTTAAAATGTTACATTATCTATAATTTTTTCGGTTACAACCTAAATTATAATATTATTTTTAACATTTTCAATTAACAACTGAAAGTGTTACTTTCTATGTAATATTTTATATGGTGACTGAAAATATTATGAAGAATATAATATTTTAGATTATGTCTAACCTAAAATATTATATTTTTTATAATATTTTCAGTAATATATTATTTCCACCGTATTTTAACCTTAAATTAAACTGCATGTTTTTTGAATTTCCTTAAGTTGCTATTGTCAAAAGCAGCACTTGTATAAAATGACATTGACATTTGAGATCCGACATCACCAGTCCAAGTGCCCAACAACATCGACAAGCAGCAAAAATACATTCCTTTCTCTTCTTTAATATTTTTCATATTCATATATTCAGAAGAATCTTACAGAAAAACTGACTGTTGCAACTGTAAACGGAAAAATAGAGTGATGACATGATTTCAGTCACGTCAGTACAGTTATAGGGTAGTTAAACCCCATTACTTGGCCTCAAACAGTGCTCTATTTTTGTATGCAGAGACTGAAAATAAACAACTCTCACTCAACAGATGCCTTCATTGAATAGAATACACGCCGTATATCAAAGTGTCCTACTCTATTGCGGATGAAGATTCGAATAATGATAATATCGTCTCTGTATATATGTGTTAAGATTATTGACATGGTGACAAAAGAATCGAAAGAACTTGTTATTGATCCGGGACTTTTCGAGCATATGCCAATACCATCACAAATTCCTTTGCACTAGAACCGGCAGATGCTGCTATACGCTGTGATGTCGATGCTGTTTGTAGCCACAAATCCACTAAATTATACAGCTGCAGTGTGGGAAGAACAGGTTGTCCCATGCATTTAATCTCAACCTGCCAAAACAAGTATACATGCATAACAAAAAAAATAAAGCAGCCCATCGCATTGAAGAACCAAAAGGAAAGCTAAATATCATTTTGGCCAAATTTCTTCTTGGTGTGTGTGTATCATTGGAGAACGTTCAAGGAGAGATCAACTCACCTCAGCTTCATTGGTGAGATCCAATTTCTTCATAAGGTATTTTTGAATAAAAGAAACAGGCACAATTCCATCCCTGCCACAAAAGAACAAATATAAACAAATGGAAGAGGGAACCGGGGGCAGCACTCGAGGGTGGCCTAAAATGGTAATGTTGTATATTTTAGTCCCTTCAAAATTTATAACATTGTCAGCTAAAAAATGGTAAAATTTCATTCTTTGTCCCTAAAAATTTTATAATTCAATCTAGCCGCCCCCAGTATACATTTTCTGGCTTCATCCTTGGATGAATCCATATCTAAAGTGACACTAACCGACAGATAACTATTATTTAATTCAAAACTCTCGGTGGAAACTTGGTCATTAATCCATATGGCTAATGCAAAATGTAAATTTTCCATGCTATAGATTGACTGGAAAAGAGAACAAAAACAGGCAGGAGTAAGCACCATTTGTTGAAAAAAATTGCTAGATGGGATTTAGCAATAACTAGAGACAACTGACCACAGAACTTAAATTAAAAATGGTAAAAATAACAGTTAATTGGCAAAAGAAACAAAATAACATATTATTTTTATTCACCTCACAATTCACAGGTCGTTCAGGACATATACGTTCACCATGTCACTTTTTTTCAGTTTTGAAATTCATATCAAGTAGTTCTCAAGCACGATAACAGAAGATGTAGGAAGCTTGCAGTCTTATCATAATTGCTTTAGGGTTCCAATATGGAATCTAATGTGAAGTTGGTCAAAGATAAGTTCTCACTCCTTACAGTATAAGGAACATATAAGTAAATAAAAATCAGGATCGAAGTGCACCTTTTAATTACATGGTCTGCTTGATTCTAACTTGACTATTACATGCCTGATAACTAAAGCTAAAAAATCTAGGCAACAATGTCTGGAAAGCATCCCCAGATGATTTGAGTTGAAGTAGAAAATGAGAGTAACTGTTGTCATAAAATGATTTCACCAAGTAAAAGAAACATACCTTTTTAAAGAGAGCTTAAAGACGGGGAGATCGTAATCAGTGGATAGAAGGTGGATTAACAATAAGAAGTGAAGGTGGATTAACAATAGGAAGTGGCTAGCGAGACCTTTTTCATATATAATAATCTAAAACAAAAGTTGGATTGTCTAACCACACTTTTATATGCATTTTGCCATTTTATCTTAAGCTTACCAAGATCTTTGTATAACCATCCACACCCCACCCAAATGCTTTCTTGAACATATTGATTAATATTAACATTACTGAAGCTAGCTAACAAAATGCTGTATAAACAGGTAACACTTTTCTAGTAATGGTTGTTGGTCCCACCCACCAGTGCTTTATCTCTAACTATACTCTAGTTAAAACCAACGTCTATCCTTCTTACATCATGACTCTTGTTTTATAAGCATCAGTTGCCATAAATATTTGGTGTTACTCGGCATATCAGGTCCTTACTTTATCCTTAGGTAATTTGCAGGAATTGGCTAAAGGAACTTACTTTATCCTCAGGTAATTTGCAGGAATCTGAGGGAGGGATGCACCTCCTTCCCTGAAAGCAATGAAGTTTTAATGAAGATAATCTTAAGAAAACTACAATCCATTAGATTGAAGGCTAAAATAAATTCTTACTGGTCTTCTAAGGCCACTAGCGAGAACCAAACAGGACCCTTTCTTCTTTCATGCTTTGGACCACATGCATCTAGCACAGCTTGAGGAGAAATACCAGAAGCCCCAAATCCAGAAGCCCTCTTCCGACGTATCCTGCATAACTTTTTAGGAGTTACAATCTCTGACGTTGCAAGACCAGCAATATTCTTTTCATCCCCAACTTTTGATTTGCATTTGTCTTCCTTATTTTTGCTTTTGCACATTTGAGCTTCAACATTAGATACATGGCTAGGTTCTAATTTAGAATCAGAACCTTGTGAACTAGACTTGAAGGACTTGGTCCTGTTTGCAACCTCCACCAAACAATTCAAAGGTTTCCAGAGATCCAATTTCCCATCCCACGATTCATCACCATTCTCAGCATCTTTATTCGTGTGTTGGCTAGGTTCGACAGAAGAAATACACTGTTTTTCAATTTTATAAAGACAACAGATATCAAAAGTCTAATCCAAAACATTAATTATTTGTGTTTGAGAAAAGGAGCATTATCAAACAATATTGGACACTGTGACAGAAAAAAGCCATCACATACTATAATCATTTAGGCTTCAATGTACCTGTCTTTTATTTTGAGTGAATTTATTTACTGTTACAGGTGAGCTTGCACTCTCCTGGTGATCCTCCATAGAGTCTTCCATCGAAAAACTGGAACCTCGCAAAGCACTGGCCTTTCTGGCAACAGCTTTTGTCCTCCTTCCAGTCATGGTAGTTTGTGTTGATACTTTGGGGGCATTAACCACCAAGGAAGAGAGCGATCTCTCTTTTCTTCTTGTGGGCATTGTAACCGGGGGCGGAACTTCAGGTGCCTTCACTTTTCTTGTTTTAAGAGGAAAGATTTTGGACCTCACA